CCATACAAACCATCATTATTGTAATTTTCATCATCGTCAGAATCGTTACCATCTGTGTTTTTACGCCATCATCAATTTCAAGGACTTTGGAAGAAAAATTAGATTCCACTTGACTTAAGTAAAATTATTTAGATATTGTTCATTTCACCGATTTAAATTTTTAATTTTTAATTTTTATAGTTAAAAATTCTAAAAAAATATCAAATTTAATTTTATCTGTTACAGTTAAAATTTTTTAAAAAATATTACATCTCAATTTAAATTAAAAACTCAAATTTACTAAACGAAGTCAGAAAATCACAGTAGTACAATATTTTATAAAGAAATGTTAAATATAACTTTTATTTCAAATTCTTTTACCGATGTTGCCTTCTATATGTAACACGTGTCACTTTAACTTTATTAAGTAAACACACTTAATAATAAGTCATTTTCTACAAAAATATTTACGAGAGTGGCACTCTCTCTTTGAGCCTTCAGCCCCATGTTTTTTTTTTTTTTTTTGGGTAGAAGAGCATTTATTCATTTTATTTTAGGCTCATCCGCGTTTATTTTATGTTAACAAAGATTTACAAGTGCTTATTGAAATTGTTTTCCTCTTTACTTTCCTTTTTGGCTTCAAGTTATTTAAAATAAGAAAGAGCACTTTGCTTAAGAATATCAAAAGCGAACCACTAAGGTGTCTTTTTTTAATTTTTTTTCCTAAATATATTTCAAAAGTACTATATTTAGATTTTTTGAATCTTTGATGAACTTTTTTTTTCTGAAGGTAACCTGACGGTACAGATTATTGTGCTTTTTTATTGTTCGTTATATATTTGTGTTCTATTATTTATCAGTGAAGGAAAAAAGAAAAGTAATATATTCAATTTTTTTTTTTTTTTGTTGAGCGTGTTTTTGACTGAACAATGCATCACATCAATTATAACATTTTTTCCTTCGCACCTTTTTTATTTATGTTATCTAAGTTTGCAAATTTCTTTTTCGTAAACTACTATTTTTGCAATTTAAGTTACAGGTTCTTTTCGTAACACTTTTTTATTTATAAGGAACATATATGTTCATTTTGTTCAAATACCTTATCATTTTCTTGAAAATTTGAACGCTGTATATTCAGGAAAAAAAAAAAAAGAAGTTGAACGTTTTATGCTTAAAAAAAGAAAACGAGGAAAAAAAAAAAAACCCTTTGGATGTTGCAATCTTTTTGTAAAACAGTTACAACCAAAAAAAGAAATGTGTTAATCGTATACATTAAGTTGGCAATACCGGTTGGTGTGTGTGAGTCAGTTATAGAGAGAGTGGTAATTATATTTGTAAAGATGACTTATTATTAAATGTGAAATTAAAGTGATGTCAAACATAAAAGGTAATATCTGTAAAAAAGTCTGAAGGTTGTATTTAGTACTTCTGTATTTTATATTAATTTTAAGAGACGTAGAGAAAATAAATATGCCCTTTTAATAAGGATTAATTTCAAAAGTATTATGACCCACGTAACACTTTGTCTTTCGAATTTTAAAACGTAACATCTGATCCCTTTAAACTTTATTCCGTTAATAATTTTGCCCATTCCGTTACACTGAGTGACGGAATTCGTCACGTGTCCATTATTTAGTGAGATTTGAAAGTAGAATTACGTTTATACCTATCTTCGTTCAGAATCACTGGTAACAGAAGGGACATTATTGCATCAGTTTATCAAAAATTAGATCTCATGATTCCTTTAAAAAGCATATTCTAAGGGAGAGATTCAAAAAATTTTCAAAACGTTTCAAACCATTTCCACCTCCTCCGGTACCGTCATTGCCGACTCTGAGTTTGCTCTCAGATCGCGTGGAGCTGGCGTGAGCAAATGCGAACGTGAACGGTCTGGGCACCAATGCCGAAGCCATAGCATTCATCTTCTTCGGCGGCACCACTCACAGAGGTCAACGTGCATTCGACGAGACACTAATATCTAGATTTTTTTCTTCGTCATCATCAACATTATTAAGTTGAACTAACTTATGGGTTTCGTGTATTATCTGTAAAGTTGAACTATATGCAATGTAAAATATGAATCTATTAATAGATCTAAAATCCAACCATTTGAAAAGAAAATACCCAGCTAATCTCTTCAAAGAAAGAGATGAGTTTTTTTTCTCTCTCTTTTCTTTTTTTTTTCTTTAATTTTTTCCTTAAATAGTGGCTTCATTCAAGCAAACCCAGAAGAAATGCCCAAAGCCAATACAGAACCCCAGAAGGGATGAAAAGTGAGGAAAAGAAAAATGAAATCCAGACGCAAGACAACTTCTATTTATTGATCTTGTTCATTTTTCTGCTAATTAGGAGAAATGTATATTTGTCGATTGTTTAATATCCAGATAGCAACGAATTTTGAAATATTTTTGGAGCAAATCTTAATTTTTTTCAATAACCTGATAAACTGATGCATTTTAATCCCTTTTTTAATAACTTGGGGTTTTACATGATATTTTACGATATTACTCTCCTCAGATGAGTTAAATAATTGACACGTGATAAATTCTGTCACTCAGTGTAATGAAAGGGACAAAATTGTTAATGGAATAAAATTCAGAAGAATGAATGTTACGTTTTAAAATTTAAAAAATAAAGTGTTAGAGATATCATAATTCGAAAAGAATTTTTAAAATTAATCCTTTTAATAATGAAAATCTCAGCGAGAGAAGATTTATCAAAAAGAAAAGTCAAATTTTGCTAACTTCTTCGCATAAAATAAGATTCTTTAATGGACTATTCTCCAAACTTTTGATAGGATCGTTCTTATATTGGGCCCCAAAGTGGGGCTTTTGTGGGTCTATTTAACTCCGTCTGAAAGAATGTTTTTAAACTCGGCCGATTCTATAATCAGCGGGCGGCGGAGTGTCCAATAATGGATGCATTACTTTTAAATTTTTTTGTTATAATATTTTTTTTATAAAATTTAAATATTTGTTTTAACTTTTTTTTTTTTTTTTTGTGTCTAAATCTGTAAACTGCCCAATATGTGCTGAAATGGTCCTGATCCGAGGGTTGATTCCCTCTTTTTTTCTTTTCCTTTGTTCTTTTTTTTTTTTTTTTTTTTTTTTGACCTTACCCCTCCTCAAAGTTAATGAATAATCCAAAAGTCAAAAACTGAACCAATGGCCTTGATAGTAGCTCACAAGGAGATAAAACAGTGTTTCAAACTTTCAACTATTTAGGACAGCCTAAGCAATGGGACTCGCAACATTTTGTCTGTTACTTTATTGCTGGTTTCAACATTCCGTGCGCGCCTAAAATCCGCCGTTACATGGCTAAAAGAAGTTGAACCAAGGGAAAATTAATGTGAAACTAGCACAATTTTAGACTTCATCGATTTGAATTTTTAATTCGATCTGATATGTGATTTAATGTGAGAGTTTTTAAACTGTAACAGAAAAAGTTATATTTAATTTTTTGTAAAAGTTTTTAACTGTAATAAAATTAAAATTGAAAACTTGAATCAGTGAAATGAACGAGACTTTTGTTATCCCGAGTTACCAAAACCAGGAAATTTATACATTTCAAAACTAATCTAATTTTGTTTACTTGTAATGCAAAGGCTTTGACATTCACTTCGCGTTAGCATTTTGTCGGCGGAGACAAAAGCAATACGGTGGATCTAAAGTTGGATTTTGGGTTGATGTTTTGCCGTAAATAAAATTTTTAAAAGCCAATTTCTCAAATCTAACAAACTTAATTTGGTTAGTTTCGTCTGTTGAATTGTAGTACTACTTGAAAATTAATTCATCAGCCTGAATTTCTTGAAAACTTTGGCTTTCTCAAACAGATTTAATTAATTTCAGTTTAGCTTATTCAAGCTAACTTGAAGACGTATCAAAGAAAACACTTGATGTTCTACCCGTAATGAAAATGTCAGCCCTTTAATAAATAACCGAATAATAAATCAATCATTCTTCATTCTATTTGCTTAGAAAATGACTTCATGGACGTTTAATTCATAAATTTAAATTATAATTCAAAATTATTTTTAATTTATGTGTGTTTTTTTTTAAGAGAAAATACTGATAGTTAAAATGTCATTTATCAAGGACCCGACCCCACCCGGATTTTTGTTATAGCGTTCCAAGCCAATATGAATATTTATATTATATCTAACCTAGTTGCATAAAAAAGAATGACAAATATAGTGAAACAAATACGTGTTCCGATCGGCTACAGATGCATTAACCATGTGAAGTATAATAGAACACGTTCAATTATGCCCGTGACTCGGCAGACCCAATGAGGAAATGTAAAGTAAGAGGAGCTTTTCAACTCCTCCTCATGACACCAACAAACACAAACAAACAAATTTCTCTAGTTTTCCGATTTGAAAGCTGACATAAGATTTTTTTTTAGCCCTTCTATTACACCTTACACACATTTTACGATGACAAATGTTACTTATCACGGATCAATCATCACCACTATTTGTGTCAGTAAATCAACATTGTTATATATATACATATATGGCAGTCATTCCAATTTATCTCATTTTTTTCACTAAATTATACGTGACACACAAATTATTACTTACGTGGCAGTGTGTTAAACATATGAGTTGTCGCAATCCCACCTCCTAAGCAACATAATAATCATGTTCTTGTGTTATGTAGGTAGTGATGCACCACGTAATAACATGTCACGTCCTGTATTTTTATGCAATTTGAAATTCAAATAAGATTTTTTAAATTGTCATAATCTTTATATTTATAGTGATACAGCATCATGATGACATGTTACGTCTTGTCTTTTTATGCAACTTAAAATCTACATATAATTTCTTAAATTATCACAATTTTCATATATATAGTGATGTAGCATGATAATGACACGTCACACTCCGTCTTTTTATGCAACTCAAAAATCTATGAGATTTTCCCTTACTCTTTTCATAAGAAAAAAAACAAGGTAAAAATATCATTATCTTTAGCGTAAACCACATGTGAATTTATAAACCCGCCAAAGCTAGCGAAAACCACTCTCTCCTTCCTTCATTTCTCTGTCTAAACGTGACAATGTCCCTCTTCCACACGCTATAAATTCCACACCACAGACAACATTGTACCATCGCAAGCCGTCTCTTCGACAGTTTTCGGACCCGAAATCCGAGATGGGTTTTAGGCCCCGAGCTCTGTTCCCTCTTTTTCTCCAAGTTCTGCTCTTGTTTCTACAAAGAACGAGAGCAGGGCATGTGTTCCATAACGTGAGTGGTTTGAGAGGCAGAAAGCAAGTAAGTGGGTGCGATTTGTTCCAAGGAAAATGGGTTTTCGACGCTTCTTATCCTCTTTACGATTCCTCAAGCTGTCCATTAATAGATCCTGAGTTTGATTGCCAAAAATATGGCAGACCCGATAAGCAGTACCTCAAGTACGCTTGGAAACCTGACTCTTGTGACTTGCCCAGGTACCATTATATATACATTATATACACAAACATATGTGTGAATGTACTGTTTCTAACTTCCCATGTTGCGCAAGCTTACTTTTGTTAAAATTTCGGTTTTTTCTGTTACTGAATTGGTTACTTGGTTTGGTGAAGGTTTAATGGGGTGGATTTTCTGGCGAGGTGGAGAGGAAAGAAGATAATGTTTGTGGGTGACTCACTGAGTCTGAACATGTGGCAATCGTTGGCGTGTATGATTCACGAGTCTGTGCCAAACTCAAAGACAAGCACTGTGAGGAGAGACTCTCTATCTTCTGTGACATTCCAGGTACACGCACACAACAAACACAGCTTTTTTTTTTTTTTTTTTTTTTTTTGGTTTTTTTTCCCTTTTTCTGTTCATTGCATGACTGTCTCTTTGTCTCTTTTCAATTGTTTTTTAATGTTATTATTGAATTTTCAATTTCAAGTTTGGAAAGGAGGCCTATTTGGTTTTGGATCCGTAATTTTCACGCCGTGAAATTATGAATTAGACAACTATACATCATACAGCTAATACGTCTAAAGGGGTCCTATTCGTTTGGTAATAGACTAATAATTAAACAATAAATGACTAAACAAGAACAATTAAATTGAAAGACTAATTCACAGCCAAAAAATAAAAATAAAAATGAAAGACTAATTGGAGATGATTTGAAGAATCTCTATCATTGTTTCAACGTCTAAAAACAAGTAAAAGAAAGTCAAGCCATACCAGACGAGGCATGTTTAGAATCTAATTGTCCTCTTCTTTTCCTTGTATAAATGATAGAAAATGTGTTGTTAAATAAAGTGATTGCAGAGAAAAGAAAAAGGAAAAACTCTAGAAAAATAAATTAGTAGTACTAAATCACATTATATTGTAATGTAAAACTAAAGGGAGTTACCTCACAAAAAAAAAAAAAAAAAAAAAAAAAAGTGGGAGTTAGAAAGTTCCTCTTTACTGGGACATCAAGAATAATGTAACGGTTAAAGCAATGAAACATTGCAATGATGTAGGAGGGAGGAAATAAAGGTTTAAATTAAAATGAACATTCCTTCAAAAATAAAATAAAATAAAATGAACATTGAACTTTGTTCTTCTCTTTCCATTCGAATATCTTATTATAAGTTTCTTTACTTTTTTGTTGGAGAATTCTTCTTCTTTCTTCTTTCTCTTTTATTTTCTAAAATTTTGTTAGGAAAATGTCTTTTTTATTTGGACAATCTATCTCAAACTTCTTAAGCCATAATAAATTACATTGACCTTATATTAAAAGTGACATGTTTTCTAGGTGTACTATTCATTTAGTCTTTATTGTGTTGGGAAATCTTAATATTAGAATCGAATTGTACCACGAACTCTTAACCGAAATGAATTTATGTGATATTTTAGCTTCATTTAATATTTTTTTTCCTTGTTTCGTGCTTGAGAAAGTACAAGAACTGGTTTCATTTCAATGCTTATTAGCTAGAAACTTTCACAAGTCTTTATATATATATAAATCAATGGATTCAAATTTATTAATTATGAGTCTAGTCTAGCTGGTATTGTTATTGTCATTATTAGTATAATACAATAGTAAGTTTGACTAGGACTAACGGTTTTGGATCGGATATACACTAGGGGCGTTCATGATCGGTTGACCAAAAAAAAAACCTCCAACCAAAACAAAAAATGTTAATTATTGATCGGTTCAGTTAGTTTGAAGTTTTTAATTAAGAGAAACCATTCCATTTATAATCAGTTTGGGCGATTTGATTTGATCGGATTAGACTTGTAATTAAAATAAATTTGCACATGTGAAATTTTT